CATGCCCCAAAATGAGTCACTGTGAACAGAGCAAGGTAAAAAGGGTGTTGTTTTACACGACCACTGAGGAATTTTAACCAAAGTATGTTGCAGACCGTTCATGAAGACCCTAAAGAATCATACCAACTTGTGGAAGATCAATGTCCCCTTTGAAGCACAGCCACCACAAAATCAGACTTACTTTGAGATCATTCTGAGGTTAAATACATATTTAAAATCATAACAAGAAATATTTTATTAGCTATGATACCGTTTCTGAAATCAAATCTTTACATAGCTATGACAGTAAACACTGGAATCTAACAATGCCTTGGAAAAAAACAGTTAATCTTTAAAAAATGAAGCATAGCTATATATAAACCCATATAGGAAATAAAAGAGTTATCGAATAAGCTTGTTCTAAACTCCTGAAACGTTGTTTCGTATTTTAGAGTAGTCACTGCAATTTATGAGAGAAATCAATTAAATCTGTATGTGGGAGTGTGTGTGAAAAAAGCAGATGTAACCCCCTTTGTAATCCTTAACATTTTCATAAGTAACTGTAATTTAATTACATATTTTTTCTCAGTAACTGTAACTGATTACAATTACTTTGATTTTGTAATTAAATTACGTAATTCCGTTACATGTAACTAGTTACTCCCCAACACTGTTCTTCAACAACTGCATTTTCCCTCTACAGTCTATGTTTAGTAACAAAATATCTGGCAACCTTCTCATCCGACACCGTCACAACAAGCGCAAAAGCTGCTGGGTGACTCGACATGATGGTGGACTGCTTTTATAAGCCACTTTTACAGGACGACGGCGATGGACAGGTAGATGTTTTTGTCTGACTGCGCTCTATTTGTGTTGTGGGGTTGCCAAGTGATGCCGTATTCAAGGATCATAATCGTATACTGAAAAAGAGGCAGGATAAAGACGTTCCCCGGCGTGGAAACAGTTAGTTTGGGATCATTTCTGAAAACATGGCAATGTCCCTAACCCAAGCCTGCCGGAGTCTTGCCCTGTCTACATGGCTGCTGTCGTTTTGCTTCGTGCATTTGCTGTGTCTGGACTTCACAGTGGCAGAGAAGGAGGAATGGTACACTGCCTTTGTCAACATCACTTACCTGGATCCAGTGACATCTGAGATAAAGACAGACAAGAGTGAATGTGGCAGATATGGGGAGCACTCTCCTAAAAGAGATGCCAGGGGCTTTGTGTTTATGCCATCTCTTCTGCAGGACAGACAGGTGTGTGACAGTAACACTAAATTCCCTCTTCCTCATCCCAACATCCCATGGATAGCACTGATAGCCAGAGGAAACTGCACCTACAGGGAGAAGATAAGACATGCTGCTGCTCTCAATGCATCCGCTGTGGTCATTTTCAATGTGCTGTGTCTGGACTTCACAGTGGCAGAGAAGGAGGAATGGTACACTGCCTTTGTCAACATCACTTACCTGGATCCAGTGACATCTGAGATAAAGACAGACAAGAGTGAATGTGGCAGATATGGGGAGCACTCTCCTAAAAGAGATGCCAGGGGCTTTGTGTTTATGCCATCTCTTCTGCAGGACAGACAGGTGTGTGACAGTAACACTAAATTCCCTCTTCCTCATCCCAACATCCCATGGATAGCACTGATAGCCAGAGGAAACTGCACCTACAGGGAGAAGATAAGACATGCTGCTGCTCTCAATGCATCCGCTGTGGTCATTTTCAATGTGGGCTCCAGCATCTCCAATGAGACCATTACTATGCCACATCACGGTAAGATGAGATGCTTTTCTTGTGCATTTGCTCTCCAGACATCATTGTAAAATAAATATTGACCATTAAAGTGCAAGTTGTGCACTGTATTCCAAGTTTATAAACCCACTTTAATTGTAGAATGTATGAAGAGCAACTTAAAGGGACAGTTCACCTAAAAATGAAAATTCTGTCATCCTTTGCTCACCCTCAAGTTGTTCCAAACCTGTATGGATTTCTTTCTTCTGCTGAACACAAAAGCAGATATTTTGAAGAATGTGAGTAACCAAACGGTAGCCATTGACTTGAGGTTTTTTTTTTTCATACTATGAAAATCAATGGCACCTGTTTGTTTACCAGCATTCTTCAAAATATCGTCTTTTGTGTTCAACAGAAGAAAGAAATACATACAGGTTTGGAACAACTTTAGAGTAAGTAAATGATGACGGAATTATCATTTTTGGGTGATCTATGAAGAGACTTTTATTGAAGGCCATTTGAGTGAATAAATAATGACCAAATTGCTTTTCGGATGAACTATTCCTTTAATGTATAGCAAGGATATCACATCAATGCACCAACATGTGATTATGACCAGTGATGCATATTGTGTGATCTAAACTTGACCAGTTTGTTTCCACTATGAATAGTTAACATCTATCATGCACTGTATCCTGATGTGGAAAAACCTGTTAAACCCTTGAGATTTGCATGGTCTGTTTACATACTTTGCAGAGTATTAAGCCTCTTTTGCATCTTTGCATTAATATTTTCATATTGCATCATATTTCACACCAAAATCAAAAGAAAGAATATGTGCTACACTTTACAATAAGGTTCCATTAGGTACTTTATTTATTTATTGCATTTTAACATTGTTTTCATGAATATTATTAATAAAATAATATTGTTGTAATGCCAAAAAATATATAAAAAAGTTAACTGTTATGCTAAAAAACAAGGCATATTATTGCACATTAATGACATTCCCAACATCCCACTTTCCTGCACAGACTTTACAAACTTTTACCAGCTCTCCACACTTCTCTCGACTCCACTATATCATACTTATATGATTCATTTATTACAATAAAAGGAATCTTTTGGTCTACACACACATTTTCGGTGATTGTTGTCTTGACTCACTCTGAAGCAGCTAAGAATGATTTTTATTACTTGAGCTGTGACATGATTACTCAGTGTGTTTGCAGTCGCTGCAGGTTTCTTCTTGTTGTGTTTCCTTAGCAATGGATGATTTTCACAAAAACATGTCCAGGTCACACTGCAACCCAAGATCATAAGGAAAAATATTAGGAAACTATATTTTGCATAAAGAAAGCGGGGCTTAATTTTGGAACTTTTGTCTATTATTATTATTATTATAGTTATTAATGCATCAAAGATGTAGATGAGTTTGTTACTTCATCAAACAGATTTGGCGAAATGTAGCATTACATCACTTGCTCACCAGTGGATGCTCTGCAGTGAATGGGTGCCGTCAGAATGAGAGTCCAAACAGCTGATAAAAACATCACAATAATCCACAAGTAGCTGAGACAACTCCAGTCCATCATTGCTTCTGGCTAAAATATGTGATGTTTTTATCAGCTGTTTGGACTCCCATTCTGACGGCACCCATTCACTGCAGAGCATCCATTGGTGAGCAGGTGATGTAATGCTACATTTCTCAAGATCTGTTCCCATGAATAAACTCATCTACGTCTTGGACGGCCTGAGGGCGAGTACATTGTCAGTGATTTTGTGGGTGAATTATTCCTTGTAAACATGTTCCTTGTAAACATGTTCTCAAAGATCTTGTCTGTGCATGTTTCAGTTTGGTAACATTAGCAGGTTAGTGGGAGTTGTAAGATTGCTCAAACCAAGTCAACCACAAGAATCTCTCTTGCATTTTGCAGAACTCATGGTCATGACATGCTGTTGTGTCTGATCAAGAGTGTCTGTCTCTTTCACTTCCCCTCATTTTCTGGTCTCTTGACCCTTTGCTTCATGAATTCTTTGTAATTTTTGAGCGTTAGAGGCCATTGACTTTATCTGTTCGGCACTGAAAGTGCTGTCAGTGTCATGAGCAACAGTGTCCAGACAGAATATTCTGCATGTAGTTAAACCTGCTGTCTTTTTTTTCCCCCAATGTTATTGGGACAGTTCACCCATCAATTTTTTTTCTCCTCGTCATGTATCTTAGTCTTATACTCTGTAAGGCACAGTGGTTAAATCCTGTTGTGTTTACTTGTGCTATATAAATAAATGAAATGAAAATGAATGAAATGAAACTGACTACATTCATGCACAGCTTTCACCTCTGACCTGATGCTGTCATGTTGTTATTGATGAAGCTCCATAAAGGTGTTGTGTTTAGCATTAATCACAGGCTCCTGTATCCTGAACTCTGCAGTGCAGTAATTCATCTCTCAAATCCAGTGTTCAGCCAGTTCCTTGTTTGTAAATGGAGAGGGCTGGTACTCCGCACTGGTTAAGTGCATTCTTCATAGTTTTATTATTGCTTTCTTTGCTGACATGTTGGCTGCTTTACAGCTCAGTCCAGCAAGTGCTAATTTTGAGGATCAAATGACTGGCTTTCACAGATGCATGTTTAGAGTCCAGAATGAGTGAAGCCCTGAGCTTAGCTGAGATGTGTGAAGTCTTCAGTTTCAAATGATGCCTCTCTTGAAATGAGCAAAAAACACACAAAATAGTTTAAATGCAAATTCAATTAAATATCTAACAACAAGCAAATTATGTTTCTTAAAACATACAATAATGCTTAAAATTAGGTTTAACTTAAACATTAAATATTATGAAATTTTAGTGCACTTTTACAAATTATTAAAAAAAAAAACTGGCTTGATATGTGTTATAAAATGTATCTAATCTATCTATTTGTTTATTTGTTTGTTCATTTATTCTTAATGTAGGATTTATTAATTTATTTATTGCCTTGTTTTGCTTTTTTTGGAGATACATTTTTGTAATATATAAAAAGTCACCTATTTGTACCTGTTTTTGTTCGTTTGTTTCTGTGTCTGTTTTTGAATACAGCCTGCTTAAATCAGTGTTGTTATTGTTAAAACTAAAACTAATTTAAAATTATTTTTGTTAACTGAAATAAAGCTGAAATAAAATATAAATAGTAGACTTAAACTTTAAAAAAAAACTGAAATAAAAGAAGTTGAAGTACTAAAATGACAAAAACTAAAACAGAAATAAAAATAGAAATAATAAAGCTTATTAGAAATATTTAAAAAAGAAGATATACATAAACCCTAAAATGAAAATGGAAAATATTAAAATAAATGCTAACTCAAAAATATGAATAAATACTACAAAACAAAACAACTAAAACGACACTTGTTTTTATTTTGAAATATTATTACTTGAAAATATCAGATTTTATTCAATATTAAGTATTAGGTAACAAGTAAGATAAAGAAATAGCCTACTCTTAATAACACAAAAAAAAGATAAATTTTCTTTAAGTTTTCCAGTTTCTTCCTTTTCTGTGAAGCAGAATCCACCCAAATGAATTATGTCTTGTTAATGGCATCAGTTTAAAGGAAGGTGTGACCGATCCGTGTGTTTGTTCTCTGTGTTTAATTACATCAGGTTTGCAGATCTGTTCGAAGGCTTTTCCAGAGTCTAGAGAAGAGCCTAACTTGTTTTTAACATTGAATGACAGTGCAAAACGCTATGACTCGCTGACTGTCGGTGTGTTTTTATGTTGATCAATTAAAAGTGTGAAGTTTGGTGGTGAAGTATGTCATCTGTGTGAATCGTTTGAGATTTGAACCTATTATCATCGGTTTAGGAACCGGCGATGTGGTGGCTATCATGATTCCTGAGCCCAAAGGTCGTGAGATCATGGCCCTGCTGGAGAAGAACATAACCGTGGCCATGCACATCACCATCGGCACGCGCAACCTGCAGAAATACGTCAGCCGCACTTCTGTGGTGTTCGTCTCCATCTCCTTCATCGTCCTGATGATCATCTCTTTGGCCTGGCTGGTCTTCTACTACATCCAGCGCTTCCGCTACGCAAACGCACGAGACCGCAACCAGGTGCTGTACAGTCACGCTTTTATTTTACTCAACATGCGTTAAGAAAGCAAAGAGGGTCAAATTTGATTTAATGTTGGTTTAAAATCTGAAATTTCAATGTAGCCTGTTTCATGTCTTTTGCAGAGACGATTGGGCGACGCTGCAAAAAAGGCCATAAGCAAGTTACAAGTACGGACCATCAGGAAGGGTGACAAGGTTTGGGTCGTTTTGTGCTTTTTTC